GCCGAGCCCCGCGCCGGGGCCGGGTACGGAGGGCAGCGTGTGACCTGTGGCCCGCCGCCACCCGGGCACGTGCGCCGTGGCGTAAGAAAGGGCCGTAAATCCCCGAGCCAGGAGCAGCTGGAACCACGGAGCGGCTTTTGCTGTAAAGGCAGTGACACGTTATTTAAGGCTCCTCTTAAAACCTAACGTTAGGTTTAATAAGGGAGATAAAAGCAAGTCAGCAGCTCTCCCTCTCAGGGCTTGGCACTCCCGGCAGCGCCGGCGGGATGGTCCCAGGGCTGAGCAGCGTCCCCCCCCAGCGCCAGCCCCTTCTGGCTCCCCGCCTCTCGCGGTGCCGACCTCTCCCCGCCGGCGTGCAGCGTGTTCCACGCGCGCTCCCACTTGTCAGACATGTGCCATCTCATTAGCGCATCTGTCCCCCAAAGTGAGAGCGCATGAGACCTAATTGAATGTAACTAATTCTGTCCCCCAAAGTGAGAAGGGAGAGCACGTGAGACCTAATTGAATGTAACTAATTATTCACTCCGCAAACGCTCTGTTTAAATGGGATTGTGAGGGACAGAATTACTCATTCTGAAAGGGGAGAGAAAGAGGGAGACAGAGAGAAAACAAATAGAGGCGGGTACTGGAGCCGCAGCTCCCTCTCTCCCCAGAATACCAATTACCGGATGAAGTGATTGTATAAATCTTTACCGAGTGAACGAACTGTACCAGTCACTTACTCCTGTCCTCTTATTATGAGGAAGCAATGAAAAATCATCCCACTCTCCAGTCCAGTTAAGGGCTCCCAGTCGCTGCCCCGGATGCCATCCGCAGCTGGAGGGCTCGTCCCGGTGCTTTCCCAGGGTCCTGCAGAGACACGGCCGAGTGCCTGGCAGGGATGCACACCACTCCCGGCCCTGGGGAGCCGCAGCGACTGCAGTGCCCTGGGGAGCTGTGGGGCTCCTGCTCCAGCGGGAGCCGGGCGATGCCATGTGGCACCCCGGGACACGGGGAGACTCAGGCTGGTCAAGGGCCCCAGTGCCGCAAGCACACTCTAGTGCCTGGTGCAGGGGCACCCCGAGCCTTGTGCCTGCAACTTTCCTGCCCTCCCCTTCAGTGGGTCCAGCCCTGCCAGGCCCCCAGCCCCGCTCTGCAGGCTCCCACGGAGCTCAGAGACCTCTCCAAGCGCTCCCTAACAGGCAGAGCACGGCGCTTCCCGACCCCTTGCCACGCCAGCGTCAGCATTTCTCACTCCCCGGTGTCTCCGCTCCGCAGGCTGGAGAAACGCGCTCATTAGCAGCGATCTCTGTCGCTCTTCCCTGCCACCTCGTTTAACCCCAGATCCCTCACGTGGTTTCCTCCCATTTCTGTCCTTGGCAGCAGCATGGGATGGGAGAGGAGGTCCTGGCCGCAGGAGCCAGGGGAAGCCAACAGGCTCACGCCTGCGCCCTTCCTGGAGGTGGGGAGCGCCTGCACCCTGCGGTGCGGCTGCATGGGCTGGTGAGGACAAAGCCAGTCCCACGCTCCCCACAAGCAACATCGGGACCCCCCTCACCACAAGGCACCGGCACCCCGGGGGCCGGTTTACCGGGATGAAGACCACCTTGTCCCCACATCTTGCTGCCGCCAGGAACAGAGGCGCAGCAGCCCCAGGCTGCCCCAGGGAGGGACCGCGCTGCTGCGTGGGCACCCCAGGGCTCCGCATCACTCCCGGTGCTGCGGCTCCCCACTCGGCCTGGGGAAGAAGCCGCTGGGGAAGTTGTGTGACTGCGGGGGAAAACAGCCTGGAAGCAAGTCAGCGAGGAGAGGGCAAACCCTCCAGCCTGTCCTGCCTCGTGGGGGATGTGGGTTTAATTGTCGCCAGCAGTTGAGTTTCCATGTATTAGAGATGTGCGTGTGTGGGTGTGAGGGAGAGAGAACATCATCATCATCACCACAAACGCAGCTGCGCAGCTCCATTCTGTGCTTATTGGCTTTCTTCTGTTTATCTATAAATAGTTGCAGGGACACAATAGACTTTTAAGACTGCCGAAGAGTTTGTCTCCCTCCAGCAACCGTATTGCCACAGCGCTGCCACCTTATCTGCTTGCAGAAAGATGAGGGTGGGAAAAATATTTACTGTCGGGGATATTTGTCATCTGCAAATTACCTCTGCCTGCAATCCACGGTGGGGATAGGACCGACAGCGCTGATCTGTATTGCAGGCACATGAGCCCTGGGGCTCTCCATGCTGTCCCAGACCCACCTGAGCCTGGCAGGGCGGGCAGCGTTGTGCTGGGAAACCCACCCACCATGTGTGCAAACCCACACCACGGGCTGCAACGGCAGCGCAGAGGGAGGAGGGAAGCGGCAAACGACGCTGAAGTGGGTGCCCAGCAAGTGGCTTGACACAGAGGAGCACCACGATGGGACAACTGGGGCACTGAGGAGCTCAGGGGTTTGCAACATTGGCAGCGCCTCCCCGGGCACATACCTGCACCCCCACGCTGCGCAGCACGCCCCCGGCACCGACCACCTCGAGAGCCCCAGGCCTCACTGCTCTCCTGCAAAGGACAAAGACGCCGTATTCCCCCGCCGCTCTCTCAGCACTCGACATCCCCGCCAGCCCCAGCAGCATTGCTCACCGTTGGGATTCCTCATATCCTGCAGCCCACAGGCTCTCGTACAGCACTTATCACTGCAGCATCCAAGAACCAACCTAACTGATGTGACACCAATTATTCAAGTATCACTAAATGCAGAACTAATGCATCTGTGTGTACAAACCTCCTAGACCCTGACCATGAAATTATAACTCTGACATGAAAGGAGCCAGAGCAGGAGCACAAGCTCTCAGCTGAGCCCCTGCCACCGCAGCACTGGCCCTGCTGGGACATGTCCCCGAGAGCCACGCAGGGAGGCAGCATCCCACAGGATGCCTGCAGCAAGGTCTGCATCCAGCTCGCTACATGTAGTCAGGGCCCGCGGGTCCCCGCAGGATGGGCTGTGGCCGCGGTGGGTCCCGGGCAGCCAAGCCGACCCATGCAGCATCAGCCACGTGAGCGCTGGCAGGGCTGGCGTGGCCGTTGTGACAGCCGGCCTGGGGAGCTGCGCGCTCTGCAGAGCGGTGCAAGAGCTGTTTCTGGGCAGCTTAGCACAGCCCATGCCGCTAGCGAAGCTCTTGGCTGGGACACGGACTGGAGCTGTGAAAAGCCATTCATTGCATTTGGAATTTTACTGTGAAATTAAGCTGTGCCTGGACCTGCAGAGCCTGGCACAGGCAGTGGTTTGTATTTTGTAAATTGCTTTCTACAATCAATTAAAGAGATGGCTGGTGTCCTGGGGGGGCACACGGGGTGGCTCCTCTTTGGGTTGGTTCCAGGTCCCTGCTGTGCAGCCCAGAGGAGCAGTCCTGGCCCCCATGGGAACAGCCTCGGCACAGGGAGACCACGGGGCTGGGGGAGAGCCTGCGCCTGGTGGAAGAGGACCTGGGCTGCTGCTCTCTGCCACTGTGCTGCGAAGGGGAAGGACATCCCCATCAGGGGCTGCTCCGCTGCCCCCATGCCCGCACCCATCACCTGAATGAGGGGCTCTTGCCCTCCCGCCGCCAGATGCCTGCTTCCCTCTGCACCCCACTTGTCGCTGTGGTCATTGCTCATGCCCCAGCTTGGGATGGAGCAGCCGCTGCCAGAGCAGTGTCTCACCGTTCCTCCGCACGCCCTCCTGGCGCCGCGGGCATTGCCGCAGCAGGGCTTTGCAGGACATGGCCCCGTGGTGTTTACAGACAGCTGCTGGGCGAGCACCCAGGGGGTCCCCACTGCACGGGGCATTTCGCAGACCTGCGGGCTGGCCCCAGGCGCTGGCACTGCCCATGGCAGCTCGAGCTGGAGTCCTCCTTGAGACGAACCTCTGCCCCCTCCCAGCCTTGCCCCAGGTCTGTCACCCCCGTGCCCCAGCAGGGACCAGGGTCTGCAGAGCCAGCAGCACAGTGTGGTCCCAGCACTGCCCTGGGGCAGCGAAGCAGAGAGGTCCCACATGAACCAGGGGATGCAGAGAGGCACAGCCAGCATGGCACAGCTCTGGCACCATCTCCCATCACATCTGGGCAGCAAGCACGGCGCAAGTGTGGGGCTGCCTGGATGGCCACGGGCTCGCCCGGGTTCTCGTTTGCTCAATGTTTTCATTAAGGACCTGGATGATGGAATAGGGAAAGCACTTATTAAATTTGCAGATGACACAAAGCTGGGAGGGACTACAAGTATCTTGGAGGACAGGATTAGAATTCAAAATGATCTTGACAAATTGGAGAAATGGACTGGAAAAAATAGGATGAAATTCAAGAGGGACAAGCATGAGGCAGTATGCTGAGCCGGGGACAATCAGCTGTGCAAACACAGGCTGTGGATGGCAGGGCCGGCGGCGCAGAGCCCAGCCGGGCACGAGACCGTGCAGGCGCTCAGGCAGGAGGCACGCTGCCTGCTCAGCCCAGTGGTCCTTCGGGAAGCAGAGGAGCAGGGCCCCTGGGGAGGCAGGAGGAAGGGATGGAGGGGACTGAGGGGCTCTGCGGAGGGGAGAGGAGCCTCCAGCACAGGCTGATCCCTCGCAGCCATGCCACGGGCCCTCCTGGGGTCCCGCACGCCTCTCCCACGCCAGCCAGGCACCACGATGAGTTCCAGCTCGACCCCAGCTGCTCCACACACTGGGAGGGGGCCAAGCAGGGGTCCCCCCGGGCTCTGCTGTCCCCCTGCCTTTGCCAGCTCAGAGCCAGGGTGCTCCCCATGCCCGGGGCTCAGCTGGGGGTCCGGCCACAGACCCACACCCCACTCAGCAGCACATCTGCAGGGGACGGTGGCCACAGGCGGGGAAGCTCCTTCCCACAGCTCCGGCCGTGCCGGGGGTGGACGTGGCTGCCTCGCCCGGGCTGAGCCCCCGCAGAGCCCCTCCTGCCGCCTTCCCTTCGCTCCAGCAATTAGAGCTCCAGCCAGCACCCTCCCAGCCTGTGCAAACACCGAGACTCATTTAAATAAATTAAGACGACATAATAAATCAAAGGGAAATGAGGGGCTGTGCCTTGGGGCAGGGGAGTCACTCGAGTTTAATTACATTGGCAAACCTCTCGCAACAAAAGCGCGGCAAGTCCCACGTGTGGCGAGCGCGGATGTGTGGGAGCAGGCACAGCTCCGTGGCGGGGCTGGCAGCGCTGCCCCGAGGCCCATGCCCGGCTCAGCACCAGCTCCGCCACCCCAGGAAAGCGAGGGGCTT